AATATTATAACCAAGGGAAAGGAGTTATATGTACATTTTACCTGAAGTATAAAAATTTAAAGTGATCAAACTACACAAATATACTTACACACCTTAATTACTTATATACAAATATTTAAAACACTATGAATCTTTATTCCATAGAGGTTCGTACAAATGGCACAGCATTGCTCCTCAATTTTATTTTGTGAAAGTGAGATACAGATAACTCTATTTCTTAAATATGTCCTCTGATGCTTGACATAATTATTTTGGAATTTAAGCATGATTTGAAGAATCCACTGGAATTTGGCTGCGCAGTGAAGCTGTCCACAGCCTCTGCAGTTCCAATTAGATCCCGGCCGGCCAGCAAGGGTCCCACATGGCGCGCAGACCTCTCCTGTCTCATCTGCCGCTCCCCTCAGCAGTGTACTTCGTCAGTCTGCCTGTTTTATTCCCTGCTCTGTCTGGTGAATCATCTCACCCTCCCAAGCATCTGGCCTATACCCTAGTACTTGTATAAAATAAATAAATCTTTAAAAAAAATAAAATAAAATTTCAAAGCCCAATAGTATAATATTCTTCTCCATTCTTCATTTAAAATATATGCAAGACCGGGCCTCCCTGGTGGTGCAGCGGTTGAGCGCTGGGTTGTGAGGCTGCCCGCAGCCTCTGCAGCGCGGGTTCGGTTCCAGGCCCTCGGGCGAGGGTCCCACATGGCGCGCAGACCTCTCCTGCTGCCCACTGCTCCCTTCAGCAGTGTACTTCATCAGTCTGCCTGCTCTGCTCTCCCCTCTGGCTCTGATGAATTCTCTCACCCTCCCGCACTTCTGACTGTACCCAGTGCTTGTATAAATAAATAAATAAAACTTAAAAAAAAACAAAAAAGACTGTGGGAACTTCTTAAAAAAAAAATATGCAAGACCAACATGAAAATGCATACATTGTTCAAAAAATGTAAAGTGATATTAAAAAAATATAAAATGAAAAAATGGAAAAAAATCATCATATGCTTCTAATGTGTTTAAAAAGACATGCCTTAATTTATCTTGCAGCTTTGCTGTTATTTTATTTCATTAGCGGGAATATGTTTTGTCTGAAAAAAAAATGCAAGAAATATCTTTTTTACCTAAGTTACAATTTTTAATTTCAGTTCATCAAAAATAAATAATAATTGACTTTTGAAGACCAACATGGCTTTTCTGGAATTAGACCATCTAAATGGTAGGCACCACTAAAATCTCCCACTCTTAGATTTTACAAAAGTTTTCAGAAATGACTAAATTAGGAGTGTAAATGAATCTCTCCATAATTGAAGTAATGGCAGAGAAACCCTCTTGCACTGATTTTGTTACCAATGACAAAGTTCAGGCATACAAAATTATTATTGTTTTTTTAAGATTTATTTTTATACAAGAGCTGGGGTACCAGTCAGAGGTGCAGGGGGGTGAGAGAATTCACGAGAGACAGAGCGGGGAGCAGAACAGGCAGACAACCAAATGCACTGCTGAGGGGAGCATCAGACACGCCAGGAGAGGTCTGCCGCACCATGTGGGAATCTCCCTGGCCGGTTGGGAATCGAACATGCGCTGCAGAGGCTGCAGTCAGCTTCACAGCACTGTGCTCAACCCACTGCACCACTGGGGAGGCCTAGGCATATAAAATTAAAGTTCAGTCAGTCCTACTGTATTTGACAATATGTTGTTTGCCTTTTGTTTCTGAATACCTAATATCAGATTTATAATACGATATCTGACATAAAAAGTACAGTTGCTATCATTTAGGTTTTATATATCTCAGCCACACACTTTTAAAGTGTATTTTATGTTTGGAAGACATTAGGTTTCCAAAAGAGAAAAGTTTCATTTATACCATATGGATTTAACACTATCATTAACACCTTACATTACCCTATAATTAACACAACATATCACATTAGTAAGTTAGTTAAAATTAATGAACCAATATCTCCATATTCTTACTTACGAAAGTTCATACTTGATAGAGATTTCTTTTTTTTTTTTTAAAGATTGATTGATTGATTGATTTATTTATACAAGCACTGGATACAGTCAGAAACACGGGAGGGTGAGAGAATTCAACAGAGACAGAGGGGAGAGCAGAGCAGGCAAACTGATGAAGTACACTGCTGAGGGGAGCAGCGGGCGGCAGGAGAGGTCTGTTGTGCCATGTGGGACCCTCGCAGGTGGTCGGGGATCAAACCGTCGCTGCAGAGGCTGCAGGCAGCTTAGCAGCCCAGCGCTCAACTGCTGCACCACGGGGGAGGCCCTGATAATGATTTCTTTAGCTTTTACTTAAGGTCTATTTTTATGACCCAAGATCACATAGAAGATGTATTAATTCTGTTGTCATTTTTTTCCTAGGCTCCTGAAATCAGCTGAAACAATATCCTTTCAAAAAAAAAATTCGCTGAAGTCTTAACATCTAGTACTTGAAAATGTGACCTTGTATGGCGATGAGTTTTTCAGAGGTGATCAAGTTAAAATAGAGTCATTATAGTTGAACTTAATCTAATAGGACCGGTGTCTTTATAACAGGGTGACATTGGGGTCATACTTCTATAAGCCAATAAATGGTAAAGATTTCAAGGAGATCAATAGAAGATAGGGGAGAAGCATGGAGGAGATTTACCCTTAGAGCTCTCCAGAAAGAACCAACCCTGCTGACAACTTGATTGAGGAATTCTGTGATCTGTGAGACAATAAATTCTGTTGTTTGCACCACTCAATTTGTGGTACTGTGTTATGACAGATATAGCAAACTAATATAACTCCTCTTGTCTGTACAATTTATCAGACTTTCTTATTTTTGATGATGACAGTTTTGAGGAGCAATAATAAGAAACATTGTAGGATGCCCTCTGTCTTTTTTTTTTCCTCTTCTCATAAACATACTATGACTATGGGTCTTTGGAAGGAAGATTGCAGAAATGAGATATTACTTTTGTCACATTCTTACTAAGGTCACATACTATGAACAATATTTATTTATTGTTTATAAACAATATTTATTTATTGTTCTCTCTCTTTACCCCAACTTCCCATACTGTATTCTCTAAAAGACTTCATTATGCACAAGGCTGACTGAAATATGGCCCTTTTCGGAGAACACTATACCTACATAAACAATTTGTAATTATTCGTCATTGTGTTAGACATTTAGGGCAAGAAGAACAATATATAAAGAAAATTAAATAACCAACTATGCCCATGATCCCAGAAAGCACTTGTTAGAGCTGATAAAGTCCAGAGGGGAAAAAGGCAGTGCCCCTATCCCAGTTACAGATAGCTAGGTTGTTTAGAAAAGTCAATTTATTCCATGTCTTGACTCTGCAGACCATTTAAAACAATGTTCTTTCTCATAACCACTTAAGTAAGTGTGAAAATATAGGAAATGAAAAACAAACAAAAAACAGAAATACTATCACTTTTAAAAGCTGGAAAGATAGTGTATCACCCTAAGAGAAGACTGTATTGGACTTTCTATTTTGAAGACTGAGCTGAAATACTCTTTTTTGAGTTGCCAGGTATAGCTCATACCTAAAACAATGACCTGTGTTAGAGAAAAAATACTCTAGAAAACACATGTATGCATTTCCAAGTTATAACTATTAAATAGACTAGGAATTCTCCATTAAGGAAATTAGATTATAGTGAATCAAGAAATTCTTTACAGTAGACCTGTCTTGGGGGAGCAAAATCATAATTGGGAATAATTTACCATAACCCATCACACAGACCTTGGTCCAGTAAGTACACATAGTTAGCACTGACATGTCTGCTGAAAGGAAGTGTCAAAAATCACTGTGAGGGTAGTCAGGGGAGTTAAATGTTAAGAGAATCAAACCTCTGAACAGAGGAATGGTCTTAACTCTCATGCAACAAAAAGGGACTAATAATTGGATGGTAAGGTATAACACACTTATAAAAGTTTAGTAAGTGTTGTAGGTACAACAAAATCCAGTTTGGAAACCATATTCAGTTCCCTCCTTCCAAGTAGTATTTATATAAAAAGAGAGGATGAAAGCTGTGAAGCCTTTTTGCAGGAGCAACCAAATCCATCCACAAGATATTATTCTGGCAGATATCTGTTCATGTCTCAGCCATATAAATATTTGGAATCAGATATTTAAGGTTTCTTGAGTACATGGCATAGCTATGGCTACTATTCCTGCCTGTAATCATGCTTACATGCTCATTTAAGAGTTACTATGGGCCTAGACACACGTTCAGATGACTTTTCCATTCTTGTAGTAAACTTTTATGGTGTGCATTTAATTCTGAGCATAATAGCACAATAAATATTTTAATTAATAAGTTAATGCTTTTTCGAAAAATTGTGAAGAGTGTATCAATTCATGTGTTCAAGTAAGAAAAATAATGAACTACAAACCAAATATTGTTGGTCCGTGCCGCAGGCCGACGGGGTTCAGGAACACGGCGGAGGGGCTGGGGATGAAAAATGCTTCTACTCACTTGGCTGGAGGCAGGAACACACACTTTATTACCTAGGGGGCAGGGATATATATATATATATATATATATATATATATATATATATATATATATATATATATATATATGAAAGTCTGCACATGCGCTTTTCTTAGCTTGCACATGTGCTTTGGTCTGCGCATGCGCTTTACGTGGCTTGCACATGCGCTTTTCGTAGCTTTTGCCTTGTGCATGCGCTTTCCATGGACCTTGCAACTTCCTGTTAAGATTGCATCAGATTTGTAGTTCTTTCGGTTGGCGGAAGCGAACACTACCTCAGGTCCCTCTGTTGGCCAGAAAGCAGCATTGCCAAGGCGGTATTGCCAAAGGTTACTAATAGCTCCCCCGTTTTTACTTTATGGTGTAGGGAGGGACTCACAAGGGCCTGTCTTAGGTTGTGGCAGGTATGCACCCATGCTTACCCGTCATGGCTGTCCACTACCTGGATTCCAGATAAAGTGACAGTGCTGTCTTAGGTTGCTATGGGGCACACCACCATCTTACCCGTCATTGGCCTACAAGTGGTCTAGGGCAATACTTATCCAGACATTGGGGTCCTGAGAAGATTGTAATGGGGAATAGCGCACATGTAAGTGCTACTCGTAAGTTTTTGCGTCTATTCCATTGATGCCACAAGATGACAAAAATGACCCTTAAACAGAGGAAAATTAGACTGAGGAGTGAGACCGCTCCACCTAAGGATTTGACCAATCCCCAAGCTTTGGAGAGCCAGGAGAGGGCTTCATCGGGATTATATATGGAAGCCCGAGTATTATTAATAGTGAGAATTTGATTAGCCAATTGGACAGTAAAATTGAGAAAGGTTTGGTTCCATGGGCCGCGCAGGTAGTCATTAAGGGAATGAACTTGAGAGGAGTAGTTGGATACAACAGCAGGGGTAACGCAGGTGAAGGCATAGGTAGGCATACAGGGGATATGAGCAGTTAAAGGCAATAAGTCGATTTCTTCCTGTATTAAGGAAACTTGTTGATTCAACTGGAGTAGTCCTACTGCGAGATGGTTGTTGATGGAATTTTGTGTGAGAAAGGCGCTGGAGGCTCTTTCTGAGAGAAGGTTGATGATATCTGCATTGAGTACGGAGTTGGATAGATCTAGGCCACCGACCACCGCGGCCGCAGCTGCCAGCGTCGAGAAGACGGAGATCAAGGCGCCAACAACCAATGCCGGACCTGCTTGTTGATTTCGGATGATTACCGGAGAAGTAGACTCAGATACATTGACAGGCATAATAACGACCTTAGGGAAACGCATGACAACAAAGGAATTGCTGAGGGTTCTAGACCAACAAGAGGAAAGGTGACAGCTACAATTGAGGGAGGATTGATTGTCGAACGATAGATTGAAAGACACTATAGAAAGGAGTCCAGTGGTGGAATTGGTAGACAAGAATGATGGGAGAATACCCCCCTTTCTGGAAACCAGCAGAAAGAAAGGGAGATTATTAACTATTGTCCAATGAATAGTGTTGCAAAGGAGAGGGGGTACTTGCAGTTGGAGGTGGAAGAGTAGCAGGTGGAGGATCATTTTCAGAAGGTTTGGAGAGCGCCTCTTTGTTGGGCGGATCGGAGGGCAGACTATGAAGTAAGCGAGTCAGCCGAAGAGGGATCCAACAAGGCTGAGGTTGACCGGGAGGAAAGATACAAAGGGATCCGGGTGCCTCGGCGAGGACCGGAGCTGGTGGTTGCCATTGTAGGGAGTGGGGCTCTTTCCAAACAACTGAGCAGATAGAATGATTGGCCTTTGTTTGCCAATGGACCTCCGCTCTTGTTAATTTAGTTTGGGTGTCCAAGGAGGCAAAATTAATAGTAAACAGAGCCTTGGACAGGCGAATGCGAGGGTCTGGTGGGGTGGAATTAGACTGCTTTTGTATTTGATTTTTTAAGTGTTGACGGGCACATTCTACGAGAGCTTGTACCTGAGGATTATAAGGAATACCTGTAATGTGAGTGATATAATGGTCAGAGCAAAAGGAGGCAAAGGATCGGCTAGCATAAGCCAGGCTGTTGTCCGTTTTTATAACACGAGGCTGTCCCATGTACGCAAGGGCCTGCCACAAATGTGAGATAACATCCTTGGTCACCTCCCCCGAATGAGGGGATGCAAAGAGGAGGTGTGAGTGAGTATCAATGGAGACATGGACAAAGGATTGGCGTCCAAAATGAGGAATGTGAGTGACATCCATTTGCCAAATGTGATTAGGAATAAGACCTCGTGGGTTAGCACCCTGGTAAGATGGCGGTATAGGACGGAAAGGTGCGCATTCTGGGCAGGACAGGACAATTTCTTGAGCCTGAAGCTGGGAGAGTCCAAATTTAATAGCCAGGGAGGAGGCATTGGTATGAAGATTGGCATGTTCTTGTTGAGCTCCATGAATAGCTGGAAGGCAGAGTTTGGGCTCGGGGGGGAGTTCTAGTAAGAAGGTCTGCCATTGTGTTACCAAGAGATAATGGTCCAGGGAGAGGTAAGTGGCCTCGAATATGTGCAATAAAGAATGGGTGGGAACGGGACTGAATAACAGTTTGTAGATTTTTTTTTTTTTAAATGGTCACCGCCGAGCTAGAGGCCGAGACATAGGGGGCCGTCTCCAGTAGTGGGATGGTCCAGGCCAGGTATTGACTATCCGTATATAAATTAATGGGAGTGTCATGGAAAATTTGGAAAGTCACCATAATGGCCGTAGCCTCAACGATTTGGGCAGAGGTACTTGGGACCGCAAAAGAGTGTTGGCCCCTAGAAGAAACCACTGCGGCCGTGCCATTGGAAGACCCGTTGGTGAAGACAGTGAGTGCCTTTGGGATTGGATTGGTGCTGGTGACCTTAGGGAAGCAAAAGGGATGATGTTGGAGAAAGGTGACCAAGGGGGATCGTGGGTAGTGTGAGATGAATTCCCCCGGGAATTGAGTAGCGCAGAGAATCCAATCCGTATCAGAAGAACAAAGGTCTTGTATTTGTGGCTTTATGTATGGCACAGAAATGGTTGAAGGCAAATGACTGTAAATGGTCAATGATTCAAAAAGAGAGGCCCGGATCAGTTGAATTACCAAAGTGTGGTAGGGGGACACAACCTGTTTAGGAGAGACGGATAAATGGGACCATTGGAGTGGACCCTCCTGCCAAAACAGTCCAGTGGGAGTGAGGGCGCTTGCAAAGACGAGAAAGGTAAAGGGTTTGGAGGGGTCAATACGTCAAAGAATGGTGGACTGTAAACAAGAGTTAACCTGTTGAATGGCTGTGCGGGCCTCAGGGGTAAGTTGGCGAGGCGCTGTGGGAGAGGAGTCACCCTGTAAGCAATAAAACAACGGTTTGAGCATGCCCATGGGAATTCCCAAAGTTGGCCGAAGCCAGGCCAAGTCTCCACAGAACTGTTGGAGCTGATGGAGTGTATGAATGTCCTGAGTGATCAACTGTCCTTTAAGGGGCCGGAAGGTCTCCGGGGTGAGAGAGAAACCCAGGAATTTGAAGGGAGGCTGCAATTGAATTTTTTCTGGGGCTATTATGAGATTAGCCTGTCGGAGGAGGTGGAAGATTTTATGAAGGGCCTCTTGGAGCAATGCCTCGGTGGGAGCAGCCAACAGAATGTCATCCATGTAGTGGTCAAGATAAAGTTGTGGAAAATTTTGTCGCAGTGGTATCAAGACCGTAGCGACAAAGACCTGGCACATGACTGGGCTATTAGTCATTCCTTGAGGAAGACATACCCACTGGTAACGGTCGGCCAGACTGATATTATTGACAAATGGAAGGGTGAAAGCAAATCGAGGGGAATCCTCAGGGTGAAGAGGAATGGAGAAAAAACAATCCTTAATGTCAATGACGGCCATGGGGAAGTCCATGGGGATTCCTGAGGGGTCGGGAAGGCTTCGCTGTACCAGGCCAAAAGGGACCATGATTTTGTTAACTTCCCAGAGATCATGTAACAGTCGCCAGATGCCAGAGGATTTTTTCATGACAAAAATAGGGAGGTTCCATGGGGAGGTGGAGGGAACAAGGTGTCTGGCCGTTAGTTGATTCTTAACAAGAGAATGAGCCGCCTGTAGTTTTTCTCTAGATAGGGGCCACTGAGGGATCCACACCGGGTCATGTTTTTTCCAGGTGATTTTCAGAGGAGCCAGAGTGGAAGGCGGAAGTTCAGTGGCCCCTCCTAAAAAGGGGGGGGGGGTAAATCCCAGCCCAGACTTGTCTTTTCCCTGACGGATTTGGGAGGATGGTATGGAAAGGGGCAAGGGATCACCTTGAAGGTTTTTTCCCAGCCCTTTGCCAGGTGAATAACCACTTTTGACCATGGAACAAGTCGCTGGGGAGTTTGTGGTAATGATTATATCCATAGCGGACATAACATCCCTTCCCCACAGATTCACGGGAATATGAGGGAAGACATAGGGCTTAAAATACCCATTGTGACCTTCCTCTGAAGTGCAGTGTAAATGACGAGAACTGCGGGATGGATGGGAGGCTGATCCCACCCCCTGAATGGAAGTGTTAGATTGAGTGAGTTTCCATGCGGATGGCCAATGATTTTGAGCAATGACGGAAACATCAGCCCCATTATCCGAAAGACCCATGAAGTGTTTGCCCTCTACAAGAAGGGAGATCATTGGTCGACTGTCTAATTGGAGAGAAAGGTTGACACAAACCGGAGGAGAGTTTTTAGCTAGGCTTTTCAAAGGTTGAGACTGACAAGTCTTGATGTGAGAATGAAAAGGAAAAGGGATTAATTGAGCCATGGATTGTCTGGGGGAGATAGAGACCACTCCATGTGTGGCCGTGGCTAAAATTTGAATTTCTCCTGAGAAGGAAGGTTCAATGATGCCTGGAATGATGGACAATCCCCTTATAGCAGAGTGCTTGTGTCCTAAAACAAGGGCAAAATGGTCAGGAGGCATGGAGCCATGAATTCCCATGGAAATAGGTTGGACTCCCATAGCGGGTGTTAAAAGGGAGGGGGATTTTACCAGGAGGTCGAACCCGGGGCTGGAGGGCCCAGCTCATTGGAGCTGGCTGAAGAGGGAAAGAGGCTGTGAGGAAGGTGGGTTTGGCTCACCATGTAAGTCTGAGGAGGGTGATAAGAGGCTGGAGGTGGAACTTGATTGTACGGCCCCTGAGAGAGGGGGGCCTGGAACCTTGGAGTCCCCCTCGAGTTTGACTGATGAAAAGGAGTTATGGGCGAGCCAGTTACATCAAATTTTGAATGGCATTCATTAGCCCAATGGAGGCCCTTTTGGCAACGAGGACAGGGACCGGGAGGTGGCGGACGTGTAAGGGCACCCCCCTGTGGCCGGGAAGTGGAAGTATTAGGGCGGGAGGGGCATTCATTGCGGAAATGGCCCGTTTGACCACCCAAGACAGGTACCGCCTCGTGTGGGGTGCTGGGCTGACGGCAGCAGAGCCGCCGCTGTGATGGTGCCTGTAACGGTAGCACCGTCAATATCCTTACACAAGCGTATGTACCCAGAAATATCCTGTTTATCCTTCCATGGGCGAATGGCCTCCTGGCACCATTTGTTAGCATTTTCAAATGCCAATTTTTTGACTAGTATAGAGGTAGGCTCTCCCTCACCCATAATTCGAGAGGCGGCTGTTAGAAGGCGAGCTACAAAGTCAGCAAATGGCTCTGAGGGGCCCTGGAGGATTTTTGTAAGGGATTGGTGAGGCTGTCCCCTGGATCCCAGTGCCTTCCAAGCCGATTTGGCTGCCAAGGCCACTTGCGCAAAAACGGCAGGATTATACAAACATTGTTGCTGGTTAGTACTATAACTGGGACCCTCCCCGGTTAATATTTCTTTAGTTTGTTGGGGAAAACCTCTTTGAAGATTGGTTTGAGCATACTGGTCAGAGTTCCGTAAACTGGCCCTTCCACAAAAGATAATCCCCCGGGCTCAAAACCGCGCGGAAAGTGTCCTTCCAGTCATTGGGTGTCATAATAAAGGTTTCAAAGGTGTCTAACATTTGGTGAACAAAAGGGCTCTGAAGTCTGTAGTCTTTGATAGATTCTTTTAAGAGCTTGAGGTCTCGGAAAGGCAGTGCCGAATGTTGCCAAACCGCCTGTCCTTGAGCATTTTGAGTAACCGAGACCGGGCAGGCCAGAAGGGATTCCCGAGATTTTTCAGAGTTGGAGGGTACAAATCTCGAAAGAACAGAAGTTAGGGACTGTATAAGCCCAGGAAAGTCTGGGTCAGAGCCATGGGAGTTGAGTGGAGGGGTAGAGAGGAGAGTGGGAAGGGAGGGATACCACCGATTTTTGGTTGATGGGGGTGGTCTATCATTGGGAGGTGGATAGTCTGTCCTCCACATCCCCCTCGTCTGAAGAGGAATCTCCCCCCGTATTTGAGGATTGAGGGGGGGGTGGTTTCCGTGGCTGAGCTTGCCGCGGCTGAGTATGTGGCGGTTGTTTACTTTCGGACTGAGCCATGGAGCGCAATGCCTCAGTCACTAGTTCACAAGCAGCTGCTCCTCTGTCACTACGGGGGGGGGGGGGGACAGTTTGGGGTCCGTAAAGGTCCCTGTGAAGAAGGAAGTCTGCTTTGACCTTTTCCCAGTTTCGTACTGAGACGGTGTCCTGCTGAAGGAACCATTTGCTGGTATTTACGAGGACTGAGACTAGATTATGAAGGGTCTGAACCTTAACGGGAGTTCCATAATGTTTAAGGAGAAGTTGTAGGGCTCTAACAAGTTGGCCCTTGGACATGGTATTGCCCATGATGCAGATCACTTACCTAATCCTTACCTTACTGATTGATCGGTCCCTCAGAGGATCCCTCGTACTCCTGTCCCGATGTTGGGTGCCACTTGTCGGTCCGTCCCGCAGGCCGACGGGGTTCAGGAACATGGTAGAGGGGCTGGGAATGAAAAATGCGTCTACTCACTTGGCTGGAGGCAGGAACACACACTTTATTACCAAGGGGGCAGGGATATATATATATATATATATAAGTCTGCGCATGCACTTTTCTTGGCTTGCGCATATGCTTTGGTCTGCGCATGCGCTTTACGTGGCTTGCACATGCGCTTTTCGTAGCTTTTGTCTTGTGCATGCGCTTTCCATGGACCTTAAAACTTCCTGTTAAGATTGCATCAGATTTGTAGTTCTTTCGGTTGGCGGAAGCAAACACTACCTCAGGTCCCTCTGTTGGCCAGAAAGCAGCATTGCCAAGGCGGTATTGCCAAAGGTTACTAACAAAATATTATGTTTGTTTAATATTTTAAATAATTTCCTACTATTTTATTAGTTCAGAAATGTTTACAGGTAGAATGTTTACATGTTTACATTTGATCTCTTTGGTTTCATCCCCAATATCTAAACATCTTGGCATCACAAAGGGCTTAGAAAATAATGTGGAAACGTCTATGTAGACTGAAACACCAGGTAACAGCTTGCTAAGTACAGACATGATTCATGGGGTACTTATACTCATGATGTTTAAATCCTTATGGTGAGCTTTACCTGCAATTTCATAAATACTTTGTAATCAAATTTTTGTAGTGCAGGAGGGTTAGTTAATGATGAATGAAATCCTACAGACAACTTTCTAGAAAATCAGACTCATTTTAAATTTAGTTGATATTTTCATTATAAGTGGTAAGAGGGCAGAGCCAGACATTTTTCTTTAATTTAGGAAAGAACTTTTGGCAGCTCACTGTGGACTCTTTAATCCTGTGTTTATCAAAAGCTTACTAGACAATAACAACTGTCCTAACTTCATGTCCTTTATTTCATTTATAATGCATCCAAAAGCTCTCAATAAAATATAATTTATAGGGCCTCCCCGGTGGCGCAGCGGTTGAGCGCTGGGTTGCGAAGCTGCCCGCGGCCTCTGCGGCGCCAGTTCGATCCCCGGTTGCTCCCCGGCCACCGGAGGAGGGTCCCGCATGGCGCGCAGACCTCTCCTGCCGCCCGCTGCTCCCCTCAGCAGTGTACTTCGGTTCTTCTGCCTGCTCTGCTCCCCTCTCTGGCTCTGGTGAATTCTCTCGCCCTCCCGCGCTTCTGACTGTACCCAGTGCATGTGTAAACAAACAAACAAACAAACAAAACAAATAAATGAATAAAATGCATGCCTCTAAAAAAAAAAAAAAATATATATAATTTATACTGATGATAATACACTGTTAAAAATGAATACATAATAATGTTTACTAACAGGCATGGTCTAGCATATGAAAATATAAAATATCAATCAATGAATAAACATTAAATAAGATATTTGGAGCAATGCAAAATACCATCATAAAATATAACCTATAATGATAAACTTATAGGCACTGTGTGAAATGGTCAAGTTTTTGTTTGTCAAGATATTCAACCTTCATATAATGATTGCCAACTCTCAGTGAATGACTAAAAACAATTTGCTCTAGAATGTAAAAGATAGGAACAAATAGTAACTGGTAATTCCATGTGAGTTATAAGGGATGTTAACAACTTGACACAGTGAAATTTTGTAGGGGACTGAGAAATATTTAATAGATAATGAACTGACAGAATTGCAGAAACCATACTTCATAAGTTCATCACCCTATTTGTTATAAATCTGAAGTAACATCATCAAGCTAGGCATTTAGCGTGCCAGTTTCAAAGTGTTTGCACCAAAAAGTAAATGTTTATCTATAATTGTTACAAAACCTCAGTTTGTCGGTGGTCTGTTATTCTAAAATCAAACAAATTTAAAACATTAAGAAATAAGATTGTGTCCTTTCATGCATTATACCAAAAATAAATCCCATATTTTTTGAAACTTTATGAACCATTTTGAAGTAACATTACTAGGCAAATTATACCCACATATGAATCTTTTTATAACTTAATCAATACAAAAATAGAGTGATTCTTAGTGTGACATTTGAAGATAAGATAGGTTTGCACATGGATCTTCCTGTTATTCATGCACCCAATTTCCTTTGTATATCTTTACTAAACTCAGGTAAAGGGCAGCATCTGCTCTGGAAGTGCCACACCAGCTTGTGCACAGGGCTTCTTACCCATTGTGAGTGAAATTGACTAGAATCACACAATCCTTATCAATTTCCCACTCGGTAGAAAACAGTTCTTCTAGGCAAGGGGGCTGCACTACATTTGCTCTGCAGCTGGCAGTACCATGGAGCTAAGTTGGAGGGAGAAAAAGAAATGGCCTGCTGTTAGTGAATTAATGTGCTCTGGGTGGGTGTGCTCACCTGATTTTGTGATTAAAATGAGCCTCCAATATAAGGAGAGCAGTGGAGGCTCTGGCTAAACTGAAGGAAATGAACAGTTTCTAGTTTTAATCCTCAAGTTCCACTCTAACACATAGCTAATGAAGTAGCTTCTTGCACAGCAGTAATATCTTCCACAGGCAGCAATTATATAAGAATAGCATTCCAAACTTGGTAGTTCTATGACTGACGAGCATACAGACTGCTAGAGTGGGGAGAGCTTCTCACACAGATGTTAGCTAAGAAATAATGTGGAGGGAAGTGACTGTAGCATACTGGGAACACAATTAGAAAGGACAAAGATTTAAATTTAAAACCTTTAAACTAATTCACAAGATGATTCATGCTGAAGATAATTCTGTGTCAATGTAAAATTTCTTAATGGATAAATTTTTAATTAAAAAGACAAAATGGGGCAAATTTAGTAACTAACCTGGTTATGATCTCCCAATAATCTGAACTGGATAGCTTATGGAACTTATTGCAAAGCAGATTTCTAGACAATACACATTGATTCAAATCAGTAATTATAAAAGAGGCACAAGATTTAGTCACACATGTGATTTGTAAGCACAATAAGACATAAAAACTACCAATACATAATTCCTGTTCTTGATAAGAGAACAGGGATTCAAAGGCACTCTCAGTTTAAAGTTTATCAATTTTAAACTAATATTAGTTAAACCTAATGTGAGAAAAATTAGCAAATTAAATTATATAGGCAAATAAAAAATGGGTAGAGAATAATAATCTGGGGGCCTTGCTGGTGGCACATGGGGTTTAGACACAGCACTATGAAGCTATCCGCAGCCACTGCAGCAACGAGTTTGATCCCTGGCCAGAGAGGTCACCCACATGGCACAGCAGACCTTTCCTGTCTTGCACACTGCTCCCCTCAGCAATGTATTTCAGTACATCTGCCTGTTCTGCTCTCCACTCAGTCTCTGGTAAATCCTCTCACCCCACACCCCTGCATCTCTGGCCTGCACCCCAGCTCTTGTATGCATAAATAAATAAATCTTTTTAAAAAAGGATAATTATCTGAAAAAGGTTTAGTTATTATTTGAATAGCAGAAATTGATGTTCCTTCTTATAGGGACACAACACTTGAACCAAGCATTTGGAGATAATCAGTAATTGCTACATTCTTTGGATATAGAACGAGATGACAAATATACCTAATAGAAAAGATCATTAAGAGTCTTGCTGAAACCCTGAGACATGGTTAGGGAACTCTAAATGTGCATTATTACTTCACACACAGATGCAAATACATGGCACAATAAGTGCCTTTCCTTTTGATTGAAACAATGGTATTGCTCTTTAATTACAGCTATCCCAATACTGACTCCATGTGGCCTCAACCCAACACTTTCCTCAGAATCCACATCAACATGGAGTTCCATTTTCCTAATCTTCAAATTATAGGTCATCACAACTGTACAAAGTATCTCAGAAAAGCAATCACCTTTTAGTTTAGGAACATGTATTAGCCAAAAGACAATACTTAGTCTTCAAAGGGAGAATTGCACACATTGTATGGAATGCATTAGTTCATCAGCTTTTATTGGTTTAGTTTGAAAAAGTCAGATATAGACTAATATTTTATCAATAATCTTGTTTTTTAACCTTGAAATAGTTATTACTAAATAAGAAATATACTTATTTAAAAGTGTATGTAATCAAAGAAGTAGATGCCACTCAAACTATCTCCATTTCATCCATAGTTCCTAGGAGTTATTTTTTCTTTTAAAGATTTATTTATTTATGCATATAAGAGCTGGGGCACAGGCCAGAGATGCAGGGGGTGAGAGGATCCACCAGAGACAGAGTGGGGAACAGAACAGGCAGACTGACTGAAATACACTGCTGAGGGGAGCAGAGGGAAAGACCGGAGAGGTCTGCCTTGCCGTGTGGGTTTCTCCTGTCCGGCCAGGGATCGAACTTGTGCTGCAGAGGCTGTGGATTGCTTCATAGTGCGGTGCTTAACCCCTTGCGCCACCAGGGAGACCCCCAAGGAGTTAATTTACTGAAAAAATATTATTCAGCAAAACAGAACATAGAATTATAAACAAATCAGTTGAAAAAACAGTCTGAGATTCATTAACAAATATTGACATGCATGATTAGAATCTACCTTTAAAATTTTCAGATATCTGTTACTTTATTAATCAATTATTGATGAGTATAATATCTCTGCTGTATACACCACCAAAAGAGAACGTAGCACAGTAAACAGATGTGTAATGTTTATTCTTAACTTTCTATGTCAGTGAATGGGAAAACAAAGTATAACCAATCAGCCTATCTCATTTGAGGGATGTTTTAATGCTATCCGGTTTTCCAAATATTAGCATGACAACTACTGAATAAGTTTCTCTGCAAAAGAAAGAATGGGGGTACATTTTATGTACTATTTTTGGGTCTTGTATAACTATTAGCATAATTTCTGTATCCCTAAAAGCATTAGAGACAGAACACACAAAATCAAATAGAGTAACAAAGAATTTACTTAATTTTTTAGCTATAAAATATGTAAATTTCTCAAAACAAACAATTGTACTTCTCAGTGGTATATGCTATATCACAAATTCAGTTTTGATCACTGCTGACATTTTCTTTTCTTCAACTCACACCATACCCAGGTCAACTTGATCACTTTTTCCCCTCCGTCATTTTGTAGTCTTAATTT